TTAAATGATAACTTAAACAAATTAAATTAATGTTTTAAACAATGATTTTATAATAAATATTTATTTTTTATATTTTTGAAAGTATATAAACCTCGTAATTTTACCTTTGGTAGAATTGATTTTAAATTTTGTAAAAAATGGTTGTGGTAAAGCCTATTAGATTTTTACATACTTTGTCGACTGTTTTTTATTGTATTCCATGTTTGGAAACTTACAAGTATAAAAAAAATCCTAACGAAAAAGAAAAACAAGCGCAAGAAGAAGAGTACTCAAAAACAAGAATTGTTCCAGAATGTGGATTATGTAAACGAAATCATTGGCGTTGCAAGGATAACAGTTGTATAAACTGTTGCAAGTTGCGAGAATATAATGATATTGTTTGTTCAAATTGTGTTGAAAAAAACATATGTTGTAGACGTGTTTTACCAAAAACACAAGATGAGTTTAACACGTTAGAAGGATTGGGAGTAACGTTTTGCTCAGGTCAATACGAACTAACTACAAATGGACAATTCTATGAGCAGGTGTATTTTCAATTCAAGAATTGTCAGACTGTATTATCTGCATAAAAGATTTTTTGTCATAGCACTATGAATTTTTCTAAATATCTCAATAGCGATTCAAAACAAAATCTTGCTTATAGCACCAAACCATATGGAAGATGTAAGCTTTACAAGAAGAAATGTAGGTGTAGTTATAAGAATCTTGATGAGTTTTGTGATGCATGTGATGAGAATTGTAAACCTTTGAGAAAGTGGGCACGATGGGTTGATAAAGACAGAAATCGATTACCGGATAATGTCGTCGGTCCTTTTGTGTTCGGTATTTATCGGGATCTTTCGGCTTTCAAAGAATTTTCCAGTGCTGTTGATGAGTTGGAAGAGAAGAAGATAAAAGAATTTGAAGCGATAATCGAGGGAAATAATAAGCTTTTAGAGAGATTTACACTGTTACAAGTGTTTGAATATAATAAAGATAGTGTTCGATATTCTAACAATTACATTAGTATGAAAGTGATTTATATGGATTTGGAGAAGGAAAGAAAGAAAAAAGTTCAAAGATTCTGGCAACCCATAGTTTTTTATTTTTTTGAACCAGGCGGAAGTGGTAAATCTGGTTTGGTACAAGAGCTTTTTAAGGATAAATTCTATGATAAACATCAGAAACAAAGGTCAGGATCGAATTGGTGGAACAAATATGATGGTCAGGAGATTGTGTTCTTAGATGAGTTTTATACAAAGATCGAATGGAATAATATGGTAAATTTACTGAACGATACAAGTTGTAGTGTGGAAATTAAGCATGGTGGTTTTGCTCTATTTTTTGTGAAATATATATTCATGACAACTACAAAGAACCCTTTGGAAGCATATAATTTTAACAATCGAGGTGGAAACGAGGATGATAACAAGCATGATTTTTGTCAATTTGGTCATTGTTAGGATTTTGTGATTAAGTTTGGTGGGGTCTGGCATGATGATATTAGTGAGCATACTACGACAATCACATTTCATCAATATGAATTGAAAGGGATAAATTGGGGCACCGAGGAGCAATTTCATAGCATGAATTGAGACATCAAGTATAGAAATGGTTGCAATACTCCAACAGAAGTTATAGAAAAGAGCAATATTGTTAACAAGGGAATCGAAGGAAAGCATGTTGTAGTTGGTCGCACGGTGTATTGGCATTGCAAATTTCCAGAGTTCAAGCATCGTTATTTACAGGATTATCCGATGAGTTGAGAGCTTTTCGAATATCGTATAGAATGTGAATCACAATCACAACAAATTATTCCGCAAAATTCAATCGAAAATACAGATCCTCAGATAGAATCAAGCACTTCACAAAAACGAAAAAGTGTTGCCATTTGTAATGAAAATTCCATTAAAAAATCACGTATTGAACAGTAAAAATTTATATTATTAAATTTACAAATATAGAATCTACTTTAGGAAAATTAAAATGAATATAATTATAGTTAGATCGTATAAGGAAAATCGTTTTCTAGTTGTAATACGTAAAAACTATTTTTATATAAAGTTTTAAGTTTTTTTTTTAAAAAAAATAAAATTAAAATGCCAAAAGTTCATTCACGTTACGAAATTCGAAATTTTTTTCATGAAAATGTTGATAAGACAAAGATTATTTGTGATTTATGCGAACAATCATATAAATTAAAAACCTCGGTTTCGAATCTTAAACGTTATTTCTTAAAGTATCATAAAGATAAATATCAATCTATTTTACAATGATATTTTGAAAAAACTCAAGGAATTAAATGTTCCATTTCTCGAAATAAAGAGTTAATTGATATATGTAATGTTCAAGTTTCAGAAGATGATGATTATTTGACAGAAGAAGAAACAGAGGAGGTTGTTTCTTCAGGTGAAGTTAGCTTATCTAATGTAGTTGAGAAGAAAGAAGACGATTTTGTAAGTAAAATTAGTAATATTGAATTTGAAGATAGTCAGTTTATTTTTAGCAATCAAATTATTCTTAAAGGAAAATGTAAAATTTTTTTTAAATAAAGTTATTTTAAAATAAATATTTGTTCATTTTTATGAGAACGTGTTCAATTTTTTGTCAAAAAAATCTGTTCTGACCAATTACGTCTCTTCCCGTTGAATCTTTTTTTGCAAGAATCTGAATTCGATTCACTTTCTTGCATTCAAACGTTCAACACTGACCAATCATGTCTCTTCCCGTTGAATCTTTTTTTGCAAAAATCTGAATCTGATTCACTTTCTTGCACTCAAACGTTCAACAATGACCAATCACGTCTCTTCCCATTGAATCTTTTTTGCAAGAATCTGAATCTGATTCACTTTCTTGCACTCAAACATTCAACACTGACCAATCACGTCTCTTCCTGTTGAATTTTTTTTTGCAAAAATCTGAATCTGATTCATTTTCTTGCACTCAAATGTTCAATTTGCTGATCGAAAATTACCAAATATGAATTCCACATTTGGTAATTTTCAAATATGATATCTGTATTTATTAATTTTGTTCTGTATTAAATCTTTATAAATTTGTATTATTTCCAGATTAAAAAAATAAAAAAAATGTCTTTAACTGTTGAATTTTGTAAATTAAAAAAAATCGTAAGACAACAACAATACAAGGAAATGGAAAAAAATTTCCTGATTGTATTCTTTTTCAAAAGATTGATGAAAGAGATAAAATCGTGTATGATTTTATCGAGAAAAACATTAAACAGCTTGAACTTTATAAGTCATTTTTTATCGATAGTCTTTCTCAAGAAAATATTGCTCGAGAAATTCAGGAAAAGATGAAACAAGAGTATATTTTACATGCTTTCAACTGGTGTCTTCCCTACAAATTTCTTGTCGATGATATGAATGTTTAGAAGATTTTCAGAGCAATGCATGCTCTATCTGTTCTTAATCCTCTAATTTTTTTAAAGTCATTAGAGGGATTTATTAAATCTTTAACCGATTTTAAAAAGGATTTATGCTTGAAAAATTAATAAATTTTTGTATTTAATTTATTTATTTATTTTATTTTATATAGAAATGATTAACAAAAATTATTATAAAAATGTGTATTTTATTCTATTCTATTTAATAAAGATGTTTTCACTTCTTCCTTACGAGATGATGATTAT